GAAAAGAAAAGGGGGGGGGGGGGTTGAGATTTTCTTGTTAAAATGAGTTGAGAATTTGGGTTTCACAGCGAGATGTTAATTACACAACATTTAGAGAGCTTACAGTGTCCAAAATAATCAGCAGGAGCCTTGGTCCAACTGCATGTGGGCGGACAATACCTACTATGGAGAGTGGAAGGGAAAGGACCAGGTAGCCACCAACAAATGCGGTTGCAATGACGAAAAACCTGAAAAAAGAGATGCCTTAAAATTTCTGTAGAAATCTCCATACCTTCTAAATAGGCTACTATGTTGATTTCACGCCACCGGCCCAAGACATTGTAACAAGTATTATCCCAAAAGGCGTGTTATTGTGTGTAAGAATTCAGTGCATATTATACTATCCCTAGCAACAGGTTAAAATCACATACTGGAAAGTGGGAAGATCATCATAGCTAGCTTGGAACTGGAAGAATTGAGTGAAGAATGGGAGGGTTTCTTCACTAGTTCCCATGGCAGCAGCAGCAGCTAGAGCAGTCGCAATAGCAGCTAGCCTTAGAATGAAGTCAAATATGGCAATCCCCTTCCCGTATCCTCCCTTTTCATCCCTGGAAACAGCTATGAGAGGTGCTTTTCCTTTAGCAACAGAGCTAGACTCTGGGATATCAATCGCTGCTGATTCACTCTTCATTTTCGCTCTTTAGAGAGTGGAGACCTGAGGACGGTTGTTCTATGAGGGTTAGCGAGCAAAGAATCAGGAGTTGCTGTGAAGTGATTGGGTGGATGGATGAACCTTATATAAGGAAACCAGCAAGAGTTGGTCTATACCCCAGGCTAAGAGGAGTTGTTGCTAAATATTTTCAATTCCATCTGATCAGGTTCTATAAGAAAGCAAGTAGAAAGGTGATGGCCATCAAGATTAGTTAGCCCTGCTTCAAAAAATGAAAGCCTAACAACTCCATTAAATCATTTGTGCTTGTCAAATTCTTGATAATCAGCGTCGCCATTGTGCATGGAGATGATTTTATTGTGATATACCATGTATTATACCTTGGCTTATTTAGATTGAAAGATGAGAAGAGGGGATCTGTAAAAGAGCCTGGCGTAAATTTTAATTAATCACTTAATTTTCCATTACTAACAAGTACAGCTCTTTGCCGCTCACTCCAGATCTATACCCAGTTTTTTTTCTTTCTATTTTTTCTTGCTAGCATGTTTTCAAAAAAAATATTAGTGAAATAATTCTGTTTTAAAAAGTAATATAATATAATACAACATATATATATTTTGCTAGCAGATCAGGTTCTATAAGAAAGCAAGTAGACAGGTGATGATCTTTTTTTGATTTTTTAATAATTTCTTTTGCAGGTTACCATAACTATTTTTTGTTTGAGTTGGGCTATTTATTTTCGTTATCTATATTTTTATCATCTAATTAACTATACAAGCATTTGTTGATCAATCGGGTATATGTCCCAAGCTATGGTTATTTTTTTATACACGCTTGCATTACACTAATGTTTTTTTTTTAATTGATAAGAAAAAAAAAATTCTAACATGTGTCTTAGTGCGAGCCCACAAATCTTAGTATTTAATCAAATTAAAAGCGATGTCTTTATTGATTTAATTTTTTTTTCCTTTTGGTGTTTTTAATTAACGCCTCATAATTCCAAACACACAAGGTAATGCAAGAGGGCGTTGCGTAAAAAAAGTTCATAAACAAATACACTTGGTTTAAATGTAGATGTAGATTAATATTGGCATAAAATTCGATCGCAAAGATATTTAATAATAGAGGGTTTAATCACCCTCTTAAACAACAAGAAGTCTGTAGATTACTTGGTGGAGACAACATATGAGAACAGAATTTTCAGAATATTGTAGATGAGAAGATCTTTAGATGGATACTGCGGAGAAACACTGTTAAAGTGATCATTGTAGATGAGAAGTTCTCTACTTCTGGCACTGATTGTTCAAATAACCAAGGCATGGAGAATTTAAAATACAATCTCCGTTCTTCTTTCTGCATGCAGGTGGTAGCATTCTGAATTCCCAAGCTGAAATTTAGAATCATTCAATCCTATCATAATTTGCTTGGTGACGAAGATAGCAATGTGGAGCATGCTCTAAGAATCCTCCCTAAAAGGTTCTCTACAAAACAACGATCTTTCCTTGCTGCTCTTGTAGTCTGCTCAAGAGGTTAAACTTAAAAGGGTCACGCTCTCTTTGAATAGTAGTAAGGCACCTGTTCTTTCAAGTCTGCCTGCGACTTTGTTAGCGATGAGGTGACCGATGCTCTATTGGATTCCTTCCGAGCTGGTAAAATGTTGAAAGCCATCAATTCCACTACTATCACTCTTGTTCCTAAGGTTGCAAATGCGAGTAAAGTAGTGGGTTTTAGACCTATCTACTGCTGCACAACTCTCTATAAATGCATATCCAAAATCTTGCAGATGAAAATGTCTTTATTTCATTATTAGACAAAATCAACCAACTTTTGTACAAGATACGACGAGAACCGGAGAGAATGTTTTTAGAGCTCGATATTTAATCTGTAAATTGGCTACATGCTTGTATCTCCACCACCAGCTTTTCAGTGATTGTTAATGGCAGTCTTCGAGGTCATTTTAATGGCGAGAAGGGTTTGTGAAAAGGTGACCCGTTGAAATCTTATTTATTTGTGGTCGTGATGGAAGTCCTATCATGTTCGTTGAATGTTGCTGCTGCTAATGGAAGTCTCCCTTACCATCCAAGGTGTAAGAAAGTCTTTTTCAACTCACCTTTGTTTTGCTAGTGACCTCGTGTTTTTGGCTGCTGGAAACGTGAATGCTATTAACTCTGTGGTTACTATTTTTTATCAGTTCTGCTCATTATATGGTCTGATATTCAAACCTTCAAATTGTGAGGTTTTTTTAGGTGCTGAAACTGTTGCACAAATAGACAATGTTGCAGGATTTAAAATGAGGAGATTGCCTGTAAAGTATCACAGGAAACGGTGTTTAGCATTGTGGTACAGTGTTTTTTTTTTTTTTAAATTTGAATTTTTTTATGTTTGAATTATTTTAATATGGTGTTAAAAATAATTTTTTAAAAAATAAAAAAATAATTTAATGTATTTTCAAATGAAAAATACTTTAAAATACAACCTCTATCGTATTTTAAAATAAACATTAATTAAAAAAAATAAAATCGGGCTTCTATAATGAAAAATCTATAGTATAATATATTATTTTTAAAATACTTAATTTTATTTATCTACATCTTACTCGTTAAAAACCCAACACAACATTATATATATATAGAAAAGCATAACAATGCATGGTAAAAAAAAAAAAATTAATCAAGAAAATTATTTATTGTTTTTAAAAGTTAATGCATCAGTTTACTATAATGAAAGAAACTCACCATAAAATACGAGTTCAAACTATTATCCTCCAGCACAAATATTTTTGTGTGTGGACCGCTTCATAAATTTTTAACACTTTTATACATGTTTTCTTGTTATAATTTCTAATACAATATTTTTATATAAATTGTCTCATCATAAATATCTGATACAATAACTCTTACTACAACATTTTTATACATCATTTCATTATAGGTCCTACCACTAAGATTTTTTATAGCAATTGAAAAGAACAAAATAACATATTAGTTCCTCAACGTCTTTTTTCTAAGAAAAAACTTTCTCATCCTTTAATGAACGAGCATATCCTATCTTATAATTTTTTTTTAATTATTGTTATTCACCCATTAACAACAATCACAAATTCATAATACAATACTTTTATAATAAGCATCTCATCATCAGTTTTATCATTATAATATTCAATAACAATTATTAACAGAAACAAAAATAATATTTTTTTCCTTAAAAGAAGTCACTTTATCATCTTCTGCAAAAACATGTCCTATTTCACAATTTTTTCCGATCATGATTATTTTACAATGCACAATAACTAATCATGTAGAATTGTTGAACCATGATAATTATCCATTGGTATGGTGATTTGATAACATAACAAAAATTATTAGGAATCACTTGGTATCAACTCACCCAAATATAAGTGAAAAATAACAATGTTTATTACAAGTCAAGTCCCATAAAGATCAACAACACCATAACTTGAGGAAACTCTTAAAATATTTAATTTTATTTATTCACCCTCATTGCTAAAAAAATTATGACAAATCTTTATATAAAAAAAGCTAGAAAACACTGATTAATTATACTAATATTGAATATAAAAAATAAAAGAGTGTTCTTTTCAAGTAAAAAAATAAAATTAACTAAAAAAAATATTTATTTTTCCAAATGCACTACACAAGGTTTTTCTTTTTGGCTGAATTTGGGTTCGAGTCATCTGATTAAAAATAGAAGTGCATGGAGTCTAAATGCACATAATGACTGCTCTTGGAGATGTTAAAGAGCTTGTATTTCTTTGGAAATAATTGCTCCCAGGATTGTATTTCTTCGGAAAGGATCTGTAGTGGCAATTTCTCTTTACTGGTATAGCTTTATTGCCTGGCTTTGCGATCTTCACAGGTTGTCAGCAAAAGTCTGACAAGTGCAACGGGGAAGAGACATGCAGGCTGCTTGTTCTTCATGTAATCGGGTCGCAGAAGATCAGATAATATGGCAGTGCATTATACAGAGGAGTGGGGTCCAAATGCAATTAAGGGACTGGCAAACAGAGCTTGCTTGGGCTCTCTCTGTTTTTTGTTTTCGTATAGAAAGGGAGCTTTCTCTCAGTCTTGCTGAGGCAGGCTTGGCGCTCATGAAAGGAACAGGAGGGTTTATGGGAAGCTGACCTTAATTCAGTCGAGACTCTTTCAAAACAAGGCTTTTGCAAGAGGCTCAGCTTAATAGTAAATACTTCGATATTTGCAGAAAAATTAATATTAAAAAAATTTAGGTTAATATTATATTTTCTTTTTTAATTAATATGTAAATTGTCTGAAAACAGCTTTAAAAAGTATAAAAAAGAGAGTGCACACTTCCATTGCTCCACCGGTAGCTGCCATATCAAAGAGTGATGGTACAAAAATGAAATTATTGTGGAGATAAGAGGGCAAAAGCAACACAAAACCAAACAAAAGGCAACAGAGTCCTCTCCTGTTTGTAATTTAACGAACACACCAACACCAAGCAGGTGGCTCGACCGTTTTCTCTCTGGTTGTGGGACGCTTCTATCGCTTTCTCGCTGTCGGAGACCGGAATTTAAAGAGAGAGTGCCGTGTCTCCGTTTCAACTTTCGAATAATAACCTCTTAAAATTAGTATAACTCTCTCTGAAAATTCTGTCTTTGGACACTCACTTACTCCGGCCAACCTTAGCCTACACCTATCTCTCTTCTTGTCAGACGCCATTCCTTATTAAAAGTCTTTTGCTCTAGTGGGTTTTTGTTTTCTTGAATGTGAGTATCAAAATCTCTATTTTTTTAAACACTTTTTATCTTGTCTTCTTGAGTTTCTCGTTTCCTTTTTTTTTCTGCGTATCGAATTGGATAAAAACCCTTAATTTTTATCTTCTACTTCTATATGGGTTTTGCTGGGGTTTGATGATTCTTTCGTGATGTTTTAATTATTTTCTTCTTCTTTTAGGGTTTTATTAAATGATCAGCTGGGGTTCAAGATGGTAGCTTTGCTAAATCAAGCAGTTTCTTGAATCAGTTTTGACCTAGTTAGGGTTTCCAATTGTGTGTTCAATGCAGTTATAATGATGTAAAAACACTTCTTTCTCTCTTTAACATTGAAAATCCTGGTTTTTGTTGTGCTTGTCATTCCATGGAGGCAAGGTGAAGTGGTTGTTTTAGTAATTTGAAGTTGAATTTCAGTGCAATTTAATGTCTCATAAAGCCTGAAACTCTATGCATTTAAAGTTCAAGCATTGGGTAAAGCCTTGCATTTGTGGTTTGTTTTTTTGACGTGCGGTGGTTGTGAATGAAAAGTTGATTATTTTCGTAGATACTCCTATAGGAAAGAGAGAATCTCGGTATACCCAGATGGCGTGGACAGAGAATGATGCTGGTAATGTGAGAGAGAAGGAACCGATTGGGGATAATGGTTTCTTGAAGGGATCACGGCCTTCACCTGGCCCTAGTGGCTCTCGTGTTGGTTCGTCTCCAGCACAGAAGGGGTTTGAAGGGAAGGACGCACTCTCTTATGCCAACATTCTTCGATCGAGAAATAAATTTGCTGATGCTCTTGCTCTTTACGAGAGTGCCCTGGAGAATGATAGTAGAAATGCTGAGGCTTACATCGGAAAAGGAATATGCTTGCAGATGCAGAACATGGAAAGGCTTGCTTTTGATAGTTTTGCTGAAGCTATTAAGCTGGACCCAGAGAACGCGTGTGCCCTGACACATTGTGGTATACTGTACAAGGATGAGGGTCGTCTGTTAGAGGCTGCTGAAGTAAGCTCATGACCATCAATTCATCTTCATCACATCAGTAAATAAGATGTTTGTTATAATTAGAAGTCACAGTTTGCAAGCAAACTTGTATTGCAATTTTATTTACAGGTTGGATTTAATTGCTTGCTATTCGAATTGTTAAGTATGCTAGTACAGATTAGAAGTCTCATTTCCCCCTTTTTTTGTGATGCTTTACTAGCTTTCCTACGCATATAGACTGGCTTTATCGTGCTTGTGGATCTTATGCATCTAAAAAAAAGGGGATCGGTGATTGCTGATACTGATAACTAGTTCCTACGTTCTTTGCATGATAAATTGGAATTGAGAGAATTTGTAGTCGATATACTCATCGCTCAGCTGTCCGTGCATGTGTATGAACTCAGATGGATGCTTCATCCTGCATTTGTTGAAAATAAAGCTAAAAGTAAATATTGTTCAATTTCTTTTTCAAAAATAACTTAGTGTTTTCACTTTTCCTGCTGGTAACAGTAGTTTTTAGCTCTCATTTTGAGCTTCTGTATTTGCTCGTAAGGAGTGTTCTGGGTAGCTATGAAATTCTGTCTATCAATGTCAGCCTGATAGCTGCTATGGATAAGGGCATGTTTACCACCTCTTGCTGTAATTTTTTTTGTGAATTGCATTCTACAATGTACTGAAACTATGTCATTGCTAATTATATATGTTTATATGTGAGTTGATCATGCTTTGGGTTTTGGTTTTGCAACTATATATTATATGCAAAAGTTGATTTATAAGATTTTAGTGATTTTTTCTTGTGTAGTCGTATCACAAGGCTTTGAAAGCTGATCCTTCATACAAGCCAGCTTCGGAGTGCCTAGCCATTGTTTTAACAGATCTTGGAACCAGCTTAAAGCTCTCTGGTAATACACAAGAGGGAATTCAGAAGTATTATGATGCTCTTAAAGTAGATCCGCACTATGCGGTAATATTATTTTTTTTCTCATTCCCACTCCCAGAATCTTGTGTTTCTATGTTTGTTTTCCACTTTTCATTTGTAAATAGTCATACTTCTTATGTGCAGCCTGCATATTATAACCTTGGTGTTGTATATTCTGAAATGATGCAATATGACACTGCCCTTAGTTGCTATGAGAAGGCTGCAATGGAGAGGCCCATGTATGCTGAAGCATATTGCAACATGGGTGTCATCTATAAAAACAGAGGTGACTTAGAATCAGCCATTGCCTGTTATGAGAGGTATGCCTGCCACTTATTTTACTTTTCTATTGGGCCCTGCACATAAGTTGTACATACTTTCAATGCCTCTGCTGATGATTGTTCCTTAATTATATTATTCTTTCAGGTGTCTAGCTGTGTCACCCAACTTTGAGATTGCAAAGAATAATATGGCAATAGCATTGACAGATTTAGGAACAAAAGTGGGTTTTCCATCCTTCATGCTTAGTCTTATAATAGCTGTGAATTCACATTTGCAGAGTCTTTCCTTAGATTCTGTTTGTTTTACTTAATGTCAGTTGTGTTAATTAGATGCTCAAGTAGCTTGTCTTTTCGTGAAAACTTATAGTAGAATACCTTTTTTCTTGCACATGTTTGATTTTGGATTTAATCATTTGTGTATTCAGGTTAAACTTGAGGGAGATATCAATCAAGGTGTGGCATATTACAAGAAGGCTTTGTATTATAACTGGCACTATGCTGATGCCATGTATAATCTTGGTGTTGCTTATGGTGAAATGCTGAAGTTTGAGATGGTGAATGATCTTTTAAGAATTTTACCCTGTTCTTGACCCACTATCCATTTGTACACTTTTGCCTCTAGAGCAATGAGGATTGACAAATTTATAGCAACATGCTAAAAAAGTTGAGCTTGGAACTTATTTTTCATCGATGCCAAGTTATATATATAACTACACACATACACTTAAGTTTTTAGCTAGTTTTATTTATTTCTTATTGCAATAATTTTATTATTCATTGATTGAGTAAATCTATTCCATGTGAGCAGGCAATTGTGTTCTATGAACTTGCTTTCAACTTCAATCCTCATTGTGCTGAGGCATGCAACAACTTAGGTGTAATATACAAAGACCGAGACAACCTTGATAAAGCTGTGGAGTGTTATCAGGCAAGTTCAGATACTTGTACAGTTTTTAAGTTTTCATTCTTCAGTGATGGAAATCATGTTCATCATTATTTTTGTTTTGCAGTTAGCTTTATCAATCAAACCAAACTTCTCTCAGTCATTGAACAACCTTGGTGTTGTTTACACTGTCCAGGTCCTAAATGAAATCATACTCGATGCACATTATTTTAGTTTATTATATATCTGGCATGTTGCTGACCAGATCCTTCCTATTTGCAGGGTAAAATGGATGCTGCTGCAAGCATGATTGAGAAAGCTATCATGGCAAATCCGACATATGCTGAAGCATATAATAACTTAGGTATCTCTCTCTCTCTCGCTCGCTCGCTCGCTCACACTCTTGTATCTGCCCTTCGATAAGAAAAAGGTCACTGTGAGCTCTGATGAGTTTGCTTTTCAGATGTTTCATTGATTCTGAAACAATTATCTTAGATTTTATTTGCAGTGTGACAATTTTCCTTTATAAATCAGATTCCTTTTCTATATGGAAACAAACACACCCTCCCCGATGTGTTTGCTTTTCAGATGTTTCATCGATTCTGATATAAGTATCTTAGATTTCATTTGTACTGTGACAATTTTCCTTTATAAATTTGATTCCTGTTCTACATGGAAACAACCCCCCCCCCCCCCCCCCCAAAAAAAAAAAAAAAAACAAAAGAGAAAAGGCTAGTACCAATTTTTTCTTCTGCTACATGTCATTTTATTTATCCTTTACTTGTAGGAGTTCTTTACAGAGATGTTGGCAATATAACTATGGCAATCAGTGCTTACGAGCAATGCCTGGAGATAGATCCTGATTCTCGCAATGCAGGCCAGGTGCTGTTACACTTTCAGTTACTTGAGTAAATGCTAAGTGCTTGCCAAGTTCTGTCGGTTGTCATAAACATGCTCCTTTTAGTCCTCTAATGCTATAAGAGATTTTACTCAATATGTTTGAACTGTAATTTTTTTTAAGCTGGTCTAGTGGCATGAATGAACAGTTGAGTTTAAATATGAAAGGCTTTAACTATAACATTGGATGGGAAGGACATTGCTTCTTAGAGGCCATGGGAGTGGAGGTTATGTATTGGTTAATGATTGTTGTGAAAGGACAAAACCTACTTCTTATTTTGTTCACTTGATTTTATTCTTAAATACAGATGCTTTACATTCAGTAGTAGTGCCACATGTGCTACTTTCCCCATTTTTCATTCTTTCTCTTGAATGGTAATTGGCTTCACAAGTGGGGGAGGGGAGGTGGGCAGCTGCATGGAATGGTGATGATTGTAGAAGGAAGAATTCTTCTTGGTTTTATTCTTTTACATGAACGCTTTTACATTCTTCAAGTGGCCTAACAGTAGAAGTGATGGCCCAACTGCTACCTCCACTTTTTTTTCTTTATAAAAAAGGACGGAAATTTTTTATCAAAGTATTGTACTGTTTGAATGTCTTAAACATGGTCAGAGTTGGTGCCAAGATCAAACAGCTCGTATATTCATTGATTGTATGCCAGACATTGTTGTCTGTATGATGGGTGTAGGATCCTCTTTGTTGTATCATTGCTTTCTCTTATCTATATCTATGAACTTTCAATGCCAGAATCGGTTGCTTGCAATGAACTACATAAACGAGGGACATGATGATAAGCTTTTTCAGGCTCACAGGTAGGGTTTAACTCCAATGGGCTAGGCATTTCATTTTCATTTCAATTCTTTTAAGAATCTTCTAATGAGGTCATTGTCTTCTCCCAGTGAAGCCATTTAATATGGCACTTGGAAAATATTTCCTATACTGATTATGAGGGTGGAAGACTACAAGCAAACACCATCATGATATAAAATAATTTGTTTTTCAAATAAAAAATTTAAATGAGTTGAGAAATTTGAGGAAGAACATTATTAGCATTCAGTTTGTGAATATTCTTTTTTATGTCTGTTTTCTACTTTCTGTCCATTGTAGATTTTGGGATTGAATGATATATCTTCATTATTAAGCTACTGCAATTGTCCTTCCATCAATTTCTTACATCAAAAGACTGAATTTTATTCTTTATGGGCTTTCAAAATGATTTTTATTCAACGAAAAGTTGGGCATTTTCTTCGAACTCTATGGCTCATGCTATCATTTTTTGGTCATAGATGATTATATATAATTTGAATATGATAATAGCATTTTATGTTGTAAAGTCTTGACATTTTAAAAGAATGCCAATTTTATTGTACTTTGTAGCGTTTGGAAACTCTTAGATTGAGCTTGGTGAGCCTTATCGGAAGTGAAATGCTACATGCAGGGAATGGGGTAGGCGCTTTATGAGGTTGTATCCGCAGTACACTTCGTGGGACAACCCAAAAGTTCCAGAGAGACCACTTGTGATTGGATATGTATCTCCAGATTATTTTACTCATTCTGTATCTTATTTCATTGAGGCCCCTCTTGTCTATCATGACTATGCAAATTATATGGTGGTTGTCTATTCAGCAGTTGTGAAGGTATGCATACCATGGTTTGTCTCTATTACATATTTGTTGATTTTTGAGTATTTACGGATGTATGATTTTATGGATTTTTTTATTGCAAATATGTCTAATCAGTGTTGTCATATGAAATTCATTACTTGTTTGCCTACATCAAACCACTCGGTTTATATTTTTTATAAAAACATTCTGTTTTTTAAATATAACTGATGGCAAGAGATGGTTAGTAGTAGTCTTTTTTGAATAAACCTCCTTTATATACCACAATTGCTCAGCAGTATTGCCAATCATTTTGCTTCATGTTCATTTTAATTTGTGACTCTGATGGTCAAGTTCACAATCCATGGCATCCACAAAACAGGCAACTCTTTCCAGCACTTTGATGCTAATCACTGCCTTGATTCTATGTTTATACCATTCAATTAGAGCATTGTGTAGTATGCTTACAAATCTGCAAGACATCCGTGAGCTATGTTGATATTCTGGATTTTCTGTTCTAATGATTGCAGTCTGATGCAAAAACGAATAGGTTTAGGGAGAAAGTTTTAAAAAAGGGTGGGATGTGGAGGGATATATACGGGATTGATGAGAAGAAGGTTGCAAGCATGGTTAGAGAAGATAAAGTTGACATTTTGGTTGAACTCACTGGACATACAGCTAACAATAAGTTGGGAATGATGGCATGCCGACCAGCACCTGTTCAGGTATGCCTTAGGTTTTAGTTTCCTTTTCCTTTTCTTTCCTTTTTTTTTTTTTGGTGTGTGGTTCTTTCCTTGATGTTATCTTGTGAGGAGTCCATTCATAGTATATATTATTTAAGAAGTTGTGTATGCTCTGACTTTTTATGCAAACAATTAATAGTATATCTTTCCTTATAGGTTGTTTTGGATTTGTTGATGTCAGTAATTATCATGCTTTTGGCTTTGGTTTATTGATCATAATTTTTGTCCACCTATATGGCCACTTCTATGGATAACAAATTGACTCATGAAGTCCATTTTTGCTGTCTATAAATTAGCACTTTGCAGAGCTTGAAATGGCCAATGATTTATACACTTCATATCTCTTTTTTACAGCTATACTTCAATTTTATTTGACTCTGTAAAAGGCACATATATACGTAACTCAGTTTCCTGAACCTCCTATATTGGGAATATTCATTTTCCATGCATGCTTTTGTATGAGGAACTTGTTAGATTCGTGCTTGTAGGTAGCGTGTGCATAGTTTCTTGAAGTGAGATTCTGGACTTGTTAAAATTTATGCCTCTGGGAGAATCATATTGTTTTGATTAGCTTTGGTTCTTAAACAATTTGAATAAACTTCTTCAATGATCAAGGTTTTTGTTATTGGTGCCTGCATGAGAAAGAGCGCAACTTTATTGGAGGCTGCTGACTTGCATATAGTTAATTAGCCTACAAAGTGGGACTGGACAGCACAGTTTTTGTTGGCTAGGTGTTTGGGGTGAACTTGGGAATTTTCCGGTCCCATCTCTAAAAAATGTCCCATTCTTGTCTGATATGACTAAGTTATTCTGTCTTGTTGGTCCATAAAATAAATCGTTAGGTATTTTGAATGATTCATTGATGATATATCTATCCAATCTTCCGACCCATCTACATGAAACTTAGTCAAGTTGTCTTTGGCAACTTCTATATGATGAGTTGTCATAGCTACTGGAAATGCTGCACTGGCAGAGCATATCTGTGCATTAATCAAAGTGTTTGTCAGCTCTTTTTCTTTCCTTTTCCATATAATCGGATGCCTTAATTTCTTAGCCGAGGAGTCTTCAGGACAGGGCCTCATATTACATTTGGAGAGGCCAAATTAGGGAAAAGAAATTTATGAAAAGCCAAAAGTTAAAATCTACTAATTTTAGGATTAGAATTTCAAATTATTCAGGAGGGAGACAGGGAAAATATTATTTGCCAAATTACAAGACCTATTTTGTACTGTTTGAAGCTGAATTAAATTTGTTAAATTATTGTGAAGCTCAAGAAATAACGTCACTCTCATCTTCCTCAGGCCTGTCATGTCACTGTGATTGAGCTGGCAACTTCTCTGGCCATCAAAGTCTGTTTTTGTACCAACAAAATGATTCTTATAACAACCCAATTATCATCCATCCTCAAAAATCATTTCAATTCATGGTTTAGATACAGAAGATTTTGGGAGCATTTCTTGTGGTTTTATTTATTTATTTATTATGGTGTGTGTTTGATCTGGTGATCCTAGGATCAAAACCTTCATTTTGATCTCTTTATCTCCATGTTTACTGCCAAAAACATTGAACACCAGAAACTCACATCTTTCAAGCTTCAAAACAAATTAAGCAAATAATGATTGTTTGTGACATGAATATATATTTGTTGCAATTTAAAAAATGTACTCCCACTAGTTTGTGATATGATTAAAATAATTGTTTGGTTAATTCAATTGCTATGAATTATAATGAATTTAATTGTTTTCTTTTACATTAAAGTACCACAGATTAAAAGCAAGATAGGACAAGGGTATCATTATTGTTATCATATGTTGTCCTGTCCTGTCCACTATCTTGTCATCCATAAAACAGGGCAATTGTCCAGTCCACTCCAGTCCTCTGTGCACTGACGGAATAATGGAAAAGCCACATGTTGCGTCCTCTTCTGTCCCATGTATCAAACACAGCCTTATGGACTAAGCTTTCACCATTCTCAACAAGTGGTGAGTTGAAAAATGAAATTAAACCATATGATGCAGATCCTACCATTTCCTCTTCGATCCTTTCCCAATCTTGCTCATATAATCTTTTTAGTCAAGATCTTGGTTTGTATTGGTTCATGGTTAGCTTGTCTTCAGGATATGATTGAGGGTCAGGATTCTTTAAACCATTAAAAGTTAGCTAGAAAAAAAATATCTGGATGCTAAAAATGTTATAAAAATCCCCTAAACGAGGACAAAACTCATGAAGCATTAAAAAAATAGGCATAAATGCAGACAATATTTGCACATGTTAAAAAAGAAAAAGAAAATCCCCGTCTCTGCTTATGTTTTGGATCCTATTCCTATTTGCTCCACTTGGATTTTTTTTATTTTTTCAATTTGGAATGGACTATTAATTTGTCTCCGACCTTGTTTTTTGACTAACCTTTATTTTAGGTGACTTGGATTGGTTACCCGAACACAACTGGCTTGCCTGCCATTGATTACAGAATTACTGATTCATTCACTGACCCTCCTCAGACTAAACAAAAGTAGGACCACTTGTTACTTTCTTGAGGATATTGTTCTTAAATATAGCTCAGTAGGAATATTATTTTATGTTATCCATGACCTTATATGCATATTCAATGACAGGCATGTTGAGGAGTTGGTTCGTTTACCAGAATGCTTCCTTTGTTACATACCTTCTCCAGAGGCTGGGCCTGTTACTCCAACTCCTGCTCTTTCTAATGGCTTTATCACATTTGGTAGCTTTAATAATCTGGCAAAGGTATTGTTTAGTTTTGTAATTAGACTATTAAACCACTATCTATAGTGGCAAAATTCTTCTGATTGCTTCCATGTTTTGTGTCCCTCTTTTTGGGCCTTTTATTATGTCTCCCCACAGATAACACCTAAGGTGTTGCAAGTTTGGGCTAGGATACTTTGTGCAGTTCCGAACTCCCGCCTTGTGGTGAAATGCAAGCCATTTGGCTGTGATAGTGTTAGACAGAGATTCCTTGCAGTGTTGGAGCAGCTGGGGTTGGAACCACTGCGTGTCGATCTCCTGCCTCTAATTCTTCTTAATCATGATCACATGCAAGCATATTCTCTAATGGACATAAGGTAAGATCTTTAGTTATCATATATACTTGCAACCACTTATTGTTTCTTTCTGGAAACAGTTAATAAGCAAAATATGCTCTATATATGCTTAGTTGATACCTAACCTTCTATCATCCTATCCTGAGATTTGTTCACATTATTTAGACATACATGCTTTTCCAGTGTGCTTCTGGCTTGTCATTTGAATCTTCTTCATGGCTTACTTTATATGTATTTGATGTAGCTTGGACACTTTTCCATATGCTGGTACAACAACAACATGTGAATCTTTGTACATGGGAGTTCCTTGCATTACTATGGCTGGTGCTGTACATGCTCACAATGTTGGCGTGAGTCTTCTCAGCAAAGTTGGTGAGGACCTTTCATTTCTTATTTTTGTTTCATTTCTATCTCAAATTACTCTCGGTTTATATGCCTCATTGCATTCGTTGCTTACGAAGTGCCTGTTTGACCTGACCTTGAGTTTACCAAAAGCAGGTTTAAAGTAAAAAAAAGCTGGTTTATGATTGTCGGTAACCTTTTAAAACCATGATTTTGTATACTCAATGCTCTTGAAGACATGGTTTTCATTTCTTCTTTTTGTTTCATTTCTATCTCAAATTACTCTCGGTTTGCATGCCTTATTGCATTCGTTGGTTTTGAAGTGCTTGTTTGGCTTGACCTTGAGTATACCAAAAGCAGGTTTCAAGTAAAAAAGGCTGGTTTATGAGTGCTGGTAGCCTTTTAAAACCATGATTTTGTAAACTCAATACACTTGAAGACATGGTTTTGAATGCTTTGTCAAGATCATAGTTTTGAAAACTCAATCCCTAATAGAGCCAGTAACAAGAAGGAAAAGAAAAAAAAAAAGAAGTCATCTCATATGATGCCCTAGTAAAACGAAAAGGACAAACTCCTTGCCTTAACCATAGATGGTCTGGATGAAACATAGCTTTTTGGATTTATATGAAATTTTCCATGATATTATTCCAAATGATTAACTCTGCTGGAATGAGAATTTTATGTCACCTGTCATTGTGGTGATCTAATGGTATGGACACTGTATATGTGCTGCTTTCATGTAATGTAATGTTTTTTTCTTCTTCAAAGTTTCCACCATTCACTTTCAAATTCAAATTTAATACATGCTGTTTTCTGATATTTAGATTCTCATAATTCGGATTGGAGCTATTTGGTTGGAATTTTTTATTAGCTTTTAGAATCTGAAGCATTAATTATCCAGAATGAATCCATAATGTTTTTTTGCACATCTATGCTTTATGAGTCTTTGAATTTTGCTCGAGGATGTTCGGATTCTTCATAAATCCTTGTGGACCTTCTGGGTGATTGTAACGCAGGGTTAGGACATTTGGTTGCCAAAAATGAAGAGGAATACGTTCAATTGGCACTACAACTGGCCTCAGACATTTCGGCTCTCTCAAACTTGAGGACGAGTCTCCGGGAACTTATGTCTAAGTCTCCAGTCTGTGATGGACCAAATTTTACTCTTGGTTTAGAGACAGCATACCGGAACATGTGGCACAGATACTGTAAGGGTGATGTGCCATCTTTAAGGCGCATAGAACTGCTACAGCAGGGGATTCCTGAGGATGTACTTATCAAGAATTCTGATTCAACGAGGATTACATCGGCAAGAGATGGCCCTCCTGAGTCCGTTAAAGCGAATGGATTCAGTGCAGTCTCACCACCCACAGTCAATCATTCTTGTGGAGAAAACAGGAGTCAGATAAATAATACTATAAACTCAGGCAAGCTGAGCTAAAAAAAAGTTGGTGTTCTGGTGAGACAGCTGTCGAGACTGCTTGGTGTGTGCTTGATGGATAAAAACTCCATGTATAATATCTGTAACTGTTATCTGCTGCTGGATTTGAAACTAGTATTGATTGCCATGGCGATCCCATGTTACTTTGATCTGGATCAAATCTTTTGGGGGAAAGAACTGGCGATATCTGGCAGTTCTTTAAAGTTGGACCAGAAAGAAATACAGTTAATTTGGAAGAGGTGATTATGAGGCACCTGTATCACATTTTTTTTTACCTGAATCATAGAAATTAATGGTGGCGTGTAAATTGTAATCTTAATTTGTTTAACCCTTTTTTTTTTTATGATTATGAAATGGTCTGGGGCAGATCACCATAGAAGAGGGAGTTATGATTTAGTTCTAGCCGTTGTGTATGATTGTCAGTCTGATCTCTAACAGTGAAGAAGATGAAATAGAGCAAAATATTGATACTGTGATTTTACTGACCGAAATCTGCTTCCTGTTGCAGTGAGATGCTCGTCAAGAGAGTGGTTCTAGACAGCTAGTTGTCTGAACCATTAATTGGTGAGTTCCTTTACTCAGACCCATCCTTTTGTTGGAGGAATGTGGAGGGGCGATGCTCTCAGTACAAGTGAATATGGATATGTTTGTGTATTATACAAGTTAGTGATGTTTTAATGGAGTCCGCTAATGAAGTTATAAGCTCAGAGGAGTAGTCTCTCATGACTAAACTGGATTTTTGAGTCATAATACGGATAATTCTATAAAAAGAAAATTAAAATAAATTATAAAATTTAATTTTTAAAATCAATTTAATATTTTTTTAATATTAAAAAATAAAATTAAAAAATAAATTAATTGAAACAAAATATAGTCAGCCTGAGTTAATTTATAAACTTATTAACTTTAACTTACAATCTTGTAACTTGATTTATAAAATTAGAATAATTTTATAGAAAAAAATAAAATAATATAAAGATTAATTTATAATAATTAACTTAATATTAAAAAATAAAATAAAAATAAATAATAAAAACTAAAAAATTAAAATATTATTATAATAAATAATATTTTGAAAGGGGATGATAATATATTTTAGTATGTAAAATCAAATTGCATGTGAGCTTTCGAGGACAAGACAATTACGAATTTCTTTCCACGTTGATGTGTTCAATCAAGCTAAAATTTATTTTGGAAAATATCACCATTCAATAAATTTTTTTGATAAACTAAGCACAATTCAAAAATAATATAATATACGAGAACAATGTAACCTAATAAATTCTTTTTTTTTTTTTTTTGAGATTGTGCTTTTCCAAAGAAAATAGTCTAAAGAAAAAGAAAATGAAGGTTGCATTATTGGTAATAGTGCAACTTTCACAAGACAAATGAATGTTCAAATTTCGAACATTCAACTCACAAATTTTTTTATATAATTTAAAAACCAAATAATATGAAAAAATACTTGATGATTTGAGATTTAATCTAAATCAAATTTAAAATTAAATCAATCAAGGATTTAATCAGTTTAAAAATTTAATTAAAGATTAGTTAACTTATTTAACTTGATCTAATCTCAATATCTCAATTTATTAACTATGAGTTATGTATAAATAAAAGAAGAATTATAACATTTTTCCTCGGTCCTATCAAGTTGTTTTAATGAAATAATAAAAAACCGTTGATCAATTGTTTTATATATTTAATTTATAGTTAATTGTTGGGTTAAATCAATCAGGTTTCGGGTCAAGTTTTTAGTTGCTTGAATATAAAATTTGGTTCTGTCCTCGATTTACATTGGTTTGTTTTTAAAATGTATAGAAACATTGTGGGTTTTGATGTACAGATTGTAGACAAATGAATGTTATCAATGTTACAGACAACATCTTCATTCATATGTCATGTGAAGCAAGGTTGTGTTATTATTAATAGTGCAACTTAATTTCACAACTATATGTTTTTATTATTGAGGTCATGCTGCTGGGAACAATACAATATCAAGAAATTATGTGCTGTTTTTAATAGGACAGCAAGAACATTTTGTTAAAAAAAAATAATTGGTTTTCAATATTTTTTAAATAAAAATATATTAAAAAAATCCACAACAACATGTTTGATATTACCATTTATAAACTTGTACTATATTTTTTTAAATCCTGCCAAAACTTTTTTTGAATTGTGCTATTAAAAAAAAAATAGAATTCTAGGAGCTAAGATTGAAAACATATCTGTAACTCTACGTACAGTTAGTTGGATGTGAATAATGTCATTGTGTTAAGAAATTAATTATTAATTAACAAAATTCAAACTGAAACCTGAAACAGAAACTGGGTATGGAATCAAACCTTAATTTTCTTATCAATAGGAACAACTCCCAGGAGACAGTTAGTTGCAAGTGTTTCTTAAATTGTATAACCTTCCTGTTTATGTATGGAAACATTCGGATTCTTGAAAGCCTCTCACATGCACCTACAACAAAAATAGAAAAGAAAAGAAAGTAGTTCGTTAAAACGTGCGACCTTATCCTGAAGTAAAGTGAACCAACCATAGACGCATTGTCCTCGTGAATACTTGACCATTAGGTTTACCTTACCTTCCCATATAATTTAAAAAATAATTGTTTGCTTCTTAAGTCTGAACTTCCACCGTCCCTAGCAAGCTTCTGTGCAAAATATACATATCAACTCCACTTCTCGTCCCCCCTCTCTTGTGCACAAGCAGATCCTCTTTGCTGATCTTGAGTGCTGTAAGTTTCTCTTTATCTCGTAGTAGCAGCTGAGACTGCGATGCAAAGGAAAACATGCAACTTTGTCTTGATGCTTTTGATTTTCTTTGAATATATATGCGTGTGTGTGTGTTTAGCTATATATATATTTTTCCTATTTTTGTTTCATCTTTTCTGTTCTTTTCATTCTTCCCGGTCAGAAATACCTTTTCTGGAGTACGGTGCAACACTGATAATAAAGAGAACAAAGAAAATTGATCTAGTCGCATACGTTTCGGAGGAAGTAAGGCGAGAATAACAACATCTTTTGCATTTCTTTTAGTGTTAATTTGGGAGTTGAACACATTTTTGTAGTCTCGGTGTAGTTGCTTTTTACTATAACTTCTCTAACGTGTTTTATGCTTTTGCATGGTTACAAGGTTTCCACTGATTATGTAAACAACATATCAGAAACGAAATATTTATTGAGGTAAGAATATGGCCAGCGAACTACTAGCCAAGAACCAGGCCTTCTCATGCCATCTTGTATTTGATGCTTGAGAGTAAATCTTCAGAAAATACCCTCCATTTAGTGTACGGATTCACTTTGTTATAATCTCTTTTCTTTTCTGACTTCACTTCGCATCTTAAAATTAAAACTTTTGGTGATTCCTTTGAAAAACTATTTGACGCACATTTCAATACAACAGTAAAAAAAAAGAAGCTTTGGAGGGTAAATTTGCCTTTAAAGATTCATTTTATCTAGAAACTTGCACCGAAATATTAACTTAAAATTTTATATAGAAGTAAAATTTACCCTTCGTTTAAACTTCTATCAGATATAACTTAAATTGTGTGTGCGTGCGTGCGCATGTGTGTGTGTGTATATATATATATATATCGCAATCTCAGTCCCCTAGCAAAAACTAAAGGACCTCTAGTCAATTTTACTTTCAAAGTATTTGATGCCTCAGTATGTTATTGTTTTCACTAAATTAAGCAAGCATTCTTTATTGTTTGGTTGTTCATGAAATTCTCCTTTTTTAAGCCAAGTAAGCAACCTCCTCTCTCAATGGAACTGCAGCCTGCTAAGACCTCTATACACTTAGCAAACTCACGGTGCAAGGAACTCGTGACTTGCTTAGGATATCAAGAGTTCTATCTCATTAACCTAATACTAGATTAGCTTCATATTATCAGTTAATTAATAACTTGTATCAAATGATGTTAGTGTTAGCTTTATCCTGATCATATCAGAGGTATACTTTGCATCAGAGGTATACATATGTATCAGTATTGAGAAGCACTCACAAGTTTGCCTGAGGGAAAACGAAAACCCGCCTTCTATCATGCTTTCCTATGATATGAGTAACTTATTTGTAGAGTGCAAAGATATGAAATTACTGTTATTTATTTATTTAAATATCATGCAGAGAGATTGGACCGGAGAGGCTCGCTTTCGTATTCTCAATAATAGATCAAAGCAACCATGCAAAGCTCTTCAGAGAAAAGACCAGGCATCTACACTTACATAGCTCAGTGGCCTATATATTCACTAGCCTGGTCGGTTCGACAGGACAAAAAATCACGTCTTGCCATAGGAAGTTTCCTTGAAGACTATAGCAACAAGGTGGAAATTGTTCAATTCAACCGCGACACTTCTGATTTCACCACTGATAGCCGCCTAATCTTCGACCACCCTTATTCACCTACAAACCTCATGTTCTTCCCCTCCGAGGATGCTGCAAATCCTGATATCATCGCCACCTCCGGAGACTACTTGCGCATATGGCAAATTCATGATGACCGAATCGAGTTGAAGTCTCTCCTTAATGGCAATAAGAGTAGTGAATTCAGTTCTGCCATAACGTCATTTGACTGGGCTGATTTCGATGTTCATCGTGTGGCCACTTCTAGTGTCGATACCACTTGTGTGATTTGGGACATAGAGAAGGAAGTTATAGACGCTCAATTAGTTGCACATGATAAAGAAGTGTTTGATATTTCATGGGGTGCATTCAATGTTTTCGCATCAGTATCGGGTGATGGCTCCGTTAGAGTTTTCGATTTAAGGAACAAAGAGAGATCAACAATAATTTATGAAAATACAATGCAAGATTGTCCTTTGCTAAGGCTAGAGTGGAACAAAAGAGACCCGAGATTTATAGCCACAGTTGGCATGGACAGTAATAAGGTTGTTATTCTGGACATTCGCTTTCCTACAACTCCTTTAATGGAGCTATGTAAGCATAAGGCAAGTGTGAATGCTATATCTTGGTCTCCATGCACCGGAAGGCAGATATGCTCGGTAGGTGATGATTCAAGGGCTTTGTTATGGGACGTGGTTAGCAAGGCCGGAGAGCGACCAGAATACAGCGGTGCTGGCGCTAATAGCCAAGTGGAACCTGAAATGTGGTATGGATCAATGGCGGCGATCAATAATGTGAGGTGGTCACCCGCGGAGTTGGATTGGATTGCTATTGCTTTCTTTACCAAGTTACAACTCCTGAAGGTCTAAGACATTGCTGTGGCATCGATCGTCGCTTCAAAATAGTTGAGTAGGTAAATAAGAAAACAGTCACATGCGGGGGTTAGATCATATGAGTGGTTGCTCCTGAACGTGGTGGTCAATGGAAAGGGAAAACACACAACGTTAACCTGGATAGGTCCCGCTGGTGACCCGTCACTGTACGAGCATACGAGGTCGGAAAACTGCCTTTTCCATCCTTGTTAAAGTGTTGACTATAAATCTAGCATTATGTATTGTCGTTTCATTAAAGTCG